ACACCTCAATGCCGCACATTGCCTGTACGCACGCAGGCCTCGACAACACATTCATCTAGCTCTTAATTACACCCGTATACAGCACACCCATATTCAGACATGTTGTCTTCCACACAAAAAGACAAGAGTTGCATTAGACTATTCTTCTACTGGGATTCAGTTTACAAGGGAAGTTAAAAATTAGCAGCTGCAATGATTTTATTAGTCACCTTGCAATTTCAACTTTTCAATTAGGCAGAAACAATGCTTCTGCCCCAGCTGTAAAATCAAAAGAAAACAAACACTAGCAGTGGTTATTAATTTTCTGTAAGTCAGCATTACTCTAACTCCCCCCTCAAAATAAACATTCAAAATAAAACTAAAAAATCATAATATCTACAGCTAATTTCTTAAAAGCTCACCAACTCACTGAATGAGTCTTACTCAATTCTTTCAAAAGCCCCATTTATTTCCCCAGTTTCCTGTAGGCCACATTTTTGTTTTCCTTTTTTCCCCACTGCCTTTTCAACGTGTGTATAATTTTAACATCTCCCAGTTTTGCTCTGTCAGCCTTTTGTTCCAAGATGCAAGCGACTGATTAACTGCTCCGCTGTCTTCTGTGATTTCTGTGCATATGATTTGTCAAAATTCCCCCAAAAGAATTCTAAAGAAGAATAGGGGGGGGGAAACTTTGACTCTCAAGAGAAGCAGAGGAGAAAGTACTCAAACTTGCTGGTAGAATACGTACTCGCCGGTGGTGAGCTCATAGCATTGGTTGTAGAGGTAGGAGAACTCCGCGCTCGGCCCAAAATCAAAGGAGATCTCCTTTTCCAGGCTCCTGCACAGGATGGGGAGATATACAAGCATCAATAACCAAAACACCAAAAACCACAAATGAGTCTGTGTGTTATTCACAGATTCCTTGCTACTTCTACCAACCCCCGTCTCAAGCTAAGCCTTTCCAACTTCTCCCCTGTTCCCAGGCAGATACAAAAACTCCTTAAAGACCGCATTCATAAGCTACAGACAACATCAAAATGTGAAAAAAACAGTCAATTACAAGTATAAAAAAGTACAAGATATAACAGGTCACAAAGAATGAGAATAAGGTCCTGTTTAAATGGACCTTTTGGTCCGTAAATGAATTACTATTTAATCAAATCCTGATCCGCTCTCAAAATAATGCAGGTATCCAAGATTAGGTGTGTTGAGCAAATTTGCTAATTCTTTAAAACAATCATTTGTGCAACTTTTTAGTCTTTAGAAAAATTGTTTACTGGGGAATTTATTTGATGCACACTAGAAACTGCTACTTTCAACTGCTCAAAACGCTCAAAGGCTGAAAAACAGAGGAGACATCAAATCTATATACTTGATCTGATCTTCCACTTCGCGAAGACCCTTCTCGGCTTCATTGAAATCATCGCGGGCCTTCTGGGCAGCTAGACAGGGAAGGAGCACAAAATACAAAACTTGCGTCATGAGAACAGAAATGTGTTCTTATTTTCTACAAACAGATGAGAGCTGGGAAACCTTTTTACAATACAGGGAAAACAGTTTTTTTGAATTCCTGCACCTGGACGGAATAAGCACTCTGTGCGCTACTAGAATCATAAGAGACCATTGTAAATCAAATAAAATTTTACAGCTGTGCCCCATTAGTGGCTTTCTTTAGGACCTTTGTTTCATTAAAAAATGTCATTTAAACAGCTGAAGAACAAGTAGCTCCATGACCTCTCTGCAAAACCACATGCACAAGACAAGAAAAAAGCACAGCCCCACGTATGACTCCTGGAAAAAAAAGCTGTGTTCTGTCGCAAAGGCACCTGGAAATCTAGGGCACGAGAAAGGAGAGACACAGATTCGGCTTTGAAGAATGCATTAGATGCAATCATTGGGCAATTTGCTGCATCCATCTCCGTTATCTGTAATGGGCTCTCGCTTCTCTGATCAGATCTGTCCAAAGCCATACAGACAGCTCCTTATCAGCATCTGGGCGGAGAGGGAGCCGTGCATTAAGTTCATTGATTTTTATGGCTTATCTGTAATATGACACATGAAAAGCTGCTGGACTGGATGTTCCACAAAGCTGCACCATTGGTTCTGATCCGAATTGTGTCAGTGGTGAGTGAAGCCACTAAAATCAAAAGCAACCACCCCCATATAATCTCTGCAGCAAACATCTGCTAGCAACTTATACACTGGAGATGGCAAATCACGAAGTGGAGATAGAGATATCTGTACTATCAAACATTTCTAGCTGCAAATAAAGAAATTCCTAACCCATATATAAGGTACTTTGTTTGCTCTTAATGGCAACACAATCTTGTATAGTCCCTTTCATTCAGAAAGATGCCAAAACAGTTAGCCAAGCAGGTGGGGACTTGTTATATTCACCATCAGAGTACAGCATCCACATCGCTGGGGACGTCTGGCTAGACTGGACAGAGCACAAGCCTGAACTGGAAGCTAGTGTTCCTTGTAATAATACAGCCACCTCTAAAGACCACAAGTGGTCAAGTTAACAGGACCACAATTATAGAAGAACATCAACCTCCTTGAACTACAAAGTGACCTCTCACCATACTGAAGCACTGCATTGGACATTTTGGTCAAAAACATCAAATGATGGCCCACCTGCATCACTCCACACACTGAAATAAACCGATTTTCATTTAAGGTCTCCCATCCTACTACTGCCCAATTCCAGCTATCAAATTAAGTCCTAATTAAATTCTAACTAATTAACAATCCTCCTCAGGGGTTGAGGCTAGAAAGACAGAAACACCAAAAAAAATTAAAAGCATCAGGAGATATGCATCTTTTGAGATGATAATTGTAGACTCAGTTTACAATATTTCTTTTTATTTTGTATCATTAGGAGGTTTTCTTTTGCTGAAATGGCAACAAACCCAGTATGGAAAATGTTTTAGGAATTTTCACCCTTTCAGCCTGAAGCACGATGCTTAATGGCAAGTATAATGACCTGTGTTCACATGGGTTTCCTCTGGGTACACTGGTTTCCTCCAAAAACATACTGGTAGATTATCTGGCTTCTGGGAAAATTGACCCTGGTGTGATGGTGTGTGCATGTGTGTCTGTTTGTCTGCCTTGCAATGGCCTGGCATCCCGTCCAGGGTGTACCCTGCCTTGCACCTGCTGCTTGCCGAGATATGCTCTGGCTCCGTGCCCCTGCATTGGAAAAAGCTAGGTTAGAATGGATGGATTTAAAATGACAAGACCTGCTAAAGTCTGTATGGGCAGAATGGGCAAATCCCAAACCCACAGGGACAAATCTTCCTACAAACCCCTCAGCTTCTTAAAAAACCTGCCGGGCTGGTGCAAAATCAGGTCTGCTGTAATCCTGTGTTTGTTGTTAATACCTGCCTAGACCAGCCTAAAACGGTTTGAAAACTAGGGATGGCTTTAGAAAAAAGTGCCCCTGTGGATTACAAAACACTGAGTGCCTGTGTGTGTGCGAACTGCAGCGTGAGGCGTCTGGGGACAGGAGAAACTCAAATCAAAGGAACTCCAATATCTTTTGTTCCCCGACACTGAGCCCGCTCTCTTCTTTATCTTCAGCCTCCATGCACACCACGGAGAAAGAAGGTCAGCTTTTGTGGCGCACTGGAAAAGCAGCAGCAAAATTTAGGGGGAAAATAAAAAAGAGAAACTGGGAGATAAGAACAAGGCTGCCTATCAAAGCCCTGATAACGATCAGCCAGTCTAAGACAGGAATAGATGAGAGCTGTCAATCTGGCTCTGCTTCGGTTCTTCAACTCATTCTAAGTATGTGCAAAGAAAGGTTGTTTCTGTAATATAGCTGGCATATGCAAATTTTCATTTTACACTGTCTGTATTTATTTTCTGATGCCGAGGAGGAAACAGTGGCTCTAGACACAATCAGACTGTCACCAAAAAGCCCGATATCCCCAATATATTCTTCTCATTTGTCAGTCAAATCTATGACACGTCTCTATTGAGATCATGAAAAAACTACAATTCTCTTCAGATACAGACTGAGGGGTCAGCAGGAACCCAGTTTCTAACGTCAGGGGACATGGAAAACTGCTTCTGTGGTAAAACCAAGCTAAGGCAAACCAAAGGGCTCAGTTGTTATTAACAGCAGCTTGTTTTGTCTTTGATTCCAAGTTGTCTGATATGGTATTACTGGCTTAACACAAAAAGTTCATACCAGTAAAATAAACACTAGAGGAAACTTTTTGGCCCATTTAAGTCATTTAGTTAGTTGCAGCTAATTGGTCCAAACATCTCTCTTCTTGAAAGACCCAAGGTTTCAGGTTCAATGATATGCCTGGGTAGTTTGTTTCTGATGTCCACCACTCTTTGAGTAAAGATATGCCTGATATTTTCTGTCTGACATACACTTCCCTCATCAAATCCTCTTCACCTGATAATATATGCTCCTATCCTCTGATTCCAGAGCAGCGATGTCTTTTTTGTAGCTTAAATCAAAAGAACAAAACTCTAGCTCTCTACTGACCACAAGATAAACAACTTCACTTTTCACAGGGGAAATCTTTAGCTGTAGAACAAGTTATCCTGCAAACGTCAGTTCAGGGTATGAACACACATGATCAGGTTATTCCCCCATCTGTCTTCTGACTATGCTACCTGTATTCAATTCCCAGAGGAGGACAGACAGGCACCAGAGCTGCTCCTGACAGGGCAGAGTAATGAGTAGGGGAGACCAGCTCCCTTCCTCACGAGGACAAGGGATCAAACCCAGCGAGGGAAGTAGTCCATCAAAACTACCATGTGTGTCATTGGGAAAAGGGTAAAGGAAAGAAAAAACAAATCCTTGCTTAAGAATCCAAGAGTAGCCAACATCAGGAATGAGACCCATCGCACCCCTTGCTTAAATTCAGGGATAAATAAAGACAGGCCGTGTCAGAGAAGACTCCTCTTTCTCTAAGCATTTTGATCTATGACCTTTTTCTGTGAGCAAAGGTAGAAAAACGATGTTAGAGAAATGGGCTAAACGCTGCTGCTCATCAGGGACTGCAGATTTTCAAATAAAGAAACTCAGTTCTCATTCTAATGAGACTAGAATATATGAAGCTTCAGGAAAGATTCATACAGACATTGATATCTTCCTTGAAAGCAAACCCAACCCCCTCCATGGCTTCCTCCTTTTTGCAAATCAAAGCAGCTTTGATTTAGTACTCATGGGATATTTATTTTAAAATTTCTCCTGCAGCAACTGCCAGAAGAAAGGAAAACGAGGAACAAGGTTTTCTTGAATGTGGCTTTAATATGTTCCAAAAAACACAGCTAAGTATTTTATGGTGCTCATAAATGCATTTTTAGGATACCTGAAAGAATTTGCATTCATTTGGCTTTTACAAAAAGTCCAGATGCCAGCTTTACTCTCAATTTACAATGGTTCTTGAATATGCAGACTTTAACCATTAATTGCATTGTATTAATTATTTTCTTTCCCACCTCAATGAGCCTCAGTCATCACTAATGAGCAATTTTACATTGTACAAAATGCTAAATTAGGAGGAGAAAATCTCTGTGCACAACACTAGCAATCTGGGCTTCAGCAAAGTTTGCCAATATACCTCAGCTACTGAATTACAAAAATATGATCTAACAGACAATCTGGTACTTTTGTAAAATATTTTACCCTTCCTTAAATCTGAATTTTGGGAATTTTTGAAGGTCCATTCTCACCTACTACTATTCTAGATGGAGGAGACTTTCAGAATGATGGGGGCCTATCCATGCAGACGGCAAACCACCACAGAAAAAGGCGTGAACATTTCCTTTCTCAAGAGCAGCGAATCCAAAGATATTAGAAGAAACCCCTTTGTCACTTTGTCCACAGCTGGATGCCAATCAAACCATGCCAAATGCAACTTTTTTTTTATTCGCTTCAGCCTACTCTAATTTTAGCTTCACCAGACTTGCCAGCAGAAGGTTCCAAAGTGCATGACTGAGTCTCCATCATCTCTCAAACAGGGCTAAGACAGTCAAGGAGTCTTGATCACCTATCCTTAAGCCAGCCCCTTAATGACTCCATCAGCTCAGTCTGTTGCTAAGAATCCAGTGAACTGCCAGCAGCATTGTGACTGCCCAGGAGTCCAGGAAGAGTCTAATCAACTCTGTGATCTTGCTGTAACCATGTTCTGTTTTGTCTGAGCAGTGCTGTCTGAGAAAGGCCTGCCTGCTGGACAACCCAACTCCTGGATTTCACATTCCTTAAGCAAGCCTTCTGGCTCCCCCTGCTGCACACTGTGGCACACACTAAAAACTGTGCCCAATCCTGGTTCTGGAGGGCCAGTGAGACTGCAGGTTTTCAGTTTAGCTGGTATTAGGCTCCTCACCTTAACTGATGCCTTATTGGCATAATGTGACCAATTTAATGTCTTCTCCCAGCTCTTTAGGTGCTAGTCATTTGAAAAGATCTAGAAAACCAGCAGAAGCACTAGCCCTCCAGGACCTGGACTGGCCATTCCTGAACCACCAACAAAAGCAGCCCTGTGGTATAGTGCTACTCTGGGTGACTATTACTCTTGGGATAGTAGCGTTCATCATTTACCATACCAGCACTCCTTTAATTTCAGTCATGTTTTTGTACTGATTAAACCTGATTTACTATGAAGCAGACTTTGAGCACAAAAAGTGATTAATTGAGCTGTCCAGCCCTAAGATGGCTCAGATGATCAGATTTTATACTGCATCAACAAACTAAACCTGAGGGGATGGGTTAAGTCCATGAATGGCAAAGTCATTAGGTTAAGGTCTGATGGCAAAGTCAAAGAAGACACTGGCCAGACTTTGCCCCCCAAGGTTCCACTGAACTGTGTGCCATTAAAAAACATTGTACCTCAGTCACATTGAAGGAGCACAGTCTGCAGAGCTTTTCTTCCGAGTGACTTTGTAAAAAATGCTTTTTTGAGATTCAACACATAAAATGTTTTTTCATTGAATACGAGTCATTGTTTGTAGTTGAATCATTGTTAGTTTATGGATGCATTCTTGTATGGGTGCGTTCTTGTAAAATGTATAAAACCAAAGATTTTATGTATCTAATAATATTATGTTCACCTTACATAATTATTTGACAACAGGCACATTCAGCTTAGATGCACAGAGACCTATAGGGATGCGTCACTGCCTATAAGTGTTGTACAATGAAAACTCTGACTTATCTTTTCATCATAGGGAAGCACTCTTACAAAATGAGCACTTCTTACTTCGGGTTATAAAAGATTATACTGGACCATTATCCAATTCCATGTGGCAGTCTTTAAAATGTAGACAGGCAGGGGCCAGTAGCCAGTTTCAGCTCTTACAGTCCGATACCACCGGCCTCTGCTTATCAAGCACAAATGAGCACAAAGAGCAGAACACTGCAAACAGCCTTGCAAAGTTTGGGCTAAAATTTTTTGAGCTTCCCTTACTGGCTCCTCTCAGTGATCACTCACCATCAATGAGAGCCTGTGTTTCTTCATCATAGGGCGGCATGGCTGGCTCCTCTTCCTCTGCCTTCTCTGAAGGGCGTCCTACGGGGGGAGCCTAAGTGAAGAGAAGAAAGAACGCAGCTTTGTGGTTCGAGTGCCATACTTCAAGGAGGCAGATCAATTTTAAACAAGAGGGGCTAAAAGTCGCTGCCGGCAATTCAGAGTTATCAAACCTCTTTCCACTTCACATAAAAAGAGACACCAAACTGCCAGCCCTTCAGACAAGCCACAGTTCACCATGCTTACACAATGGGGCAGAAAAGGAAAACCACTTGAGCTCCAGGAATCAATTCCATCTCAATTTCATGTCTCCCACCTCTGCAGCTGTGCCCAGATCAACAGTTAATTCTCCTTACAAAGCTTTTCGACTACATACAAAAATGACAATATTCACAATGTTGCTTCTTAAATAGTTTTAAACTACACGCAGTGCCTTATTCCCGCTATCCCACACCACAAGCAACAGTGTGATTTCTGAAACATATGCCCCGTCAGGCTGTATTAAATTGATTTAAGAAACCAGATGTCTGTTGTACGCATACAATTAACAGCAATGACAGCAGGCTGCAGTCTGCGGGATCCCTGCGATCTATAATGGAAAAGGCTAAAGGAAAATGTCAGAACTCATTTTAGAGAATGTGACAAGTGTGGTGCTAGCAGGTCACATTTAAAAAAAAAAATCACTTTGTCATCATCTTCATGGTCTTCGTCATCCTCTTCATCGTCATCGTCCTCCTCCTCCTCTCCCCCATCTTCATCGGGATAGTGAGAGTCCGACTCGTTGTCCAAGGAGGGATCCCGGCTCTCCTCTGGTGGGGGTGCCAGGCCTTCATGTTGGGACTGATTACAGAACGAACGAGTTTCACAGCCCATGTCAACACGTGGAAAAACATGCTGCAGCATCATTTAGTCACACAGATACATAGAACAGACCGCCAGCTTCCAAGCATCTGTTCTTCAGCACACAGTTAGGAGCATATTCCAAAAGTTTAAACTTTCCAATCTGACAAATCATTATGTACAATGCCCTCATTTGAAAAATATTCAGATTTTTGTGAAAATCCTCACTTTATAATAAAGACCAGATGGGTAAAGTTCTTAAAATAACAGTGCATGTTGGGAACCTTAACACCTTAATATGAAGAAAGACCCTCAAACAGACTGGGGTTGGGGTAAGAGGGTGCGGATGACTTCACACAAATCAAGGGGGTTTGGCTTGATTTGACAAAGGGATGCACATGAACCTTCATATGCACATGGGCTGTACAACCTAGAAGATCCCTGTCTAAGCAATCAAAATAATCTCCACCTAATGCATCTATATTAATAAAGCACTTCTATGACAACAATCATGTTGAGAACCCTGGCATGAAAATCACACACCCCTTCATTTTATCTTTTAAAAAAGAAATTTTGTGAACTCATAACCCACTAAAAAAAAACAAACGGCAGAAAACAGGGCAATAAAAAAAAAGAGGTACTCTACAACCCCTCTGGGAAAAATCAGTAAGAATTATCCAGACCTTCCTCACCTCGGATTTGTACTTGTCTTTGATATTGTTCCACACAGTGTTCTGGAAGGCAGCAGTGTCTACCTGAGTGGATCCCCCTAGCAGTTCCTGTGGACAAATGCACAAACTAATTAACCCACTGGACTACACTTCCCATCTCAAAGATGCTTTTTTTGCACTTCGAAATGCCAATCCGATGGTCCTGAAATACTCATAGCTCAGACATTTAAACACTTTAGCTGTACAGGGAAATAAAACTCTCAGAAGGCAGGTATTGAAAAGAGTTTATGAAAAAACTATCATTTTAGACATTCACAATAATCGGATAATGAAATAATAACTAACTGAATAACACAAAATAAGAATTTCTTAAACAAGAAACCACACCGCACATGCTTACAATTTACTGCATCTTTCAGAGCTCAGTTTTTTCTATGTCTTGTATGTACATCTTCAGTAAACCTCTCACCAGTGTACAATAAGGCCTTCTGTGTTTTAAACTGGTGCATCATTTTGTGAGAATACCTATAGGAAGATAGACGGAGACTCAAAGACTGGAAGAGGGCTTCCAGCACGTACCTGTGCCTCAGTGTCCGAGAGGGTGCCATCAGAGTCTGGATCCAGCTCCACATGGGTCTGCAGCTCAGACACAGAGACTCTGCAAGGGAAAATAAACATCACAGCTCATCACTGGGCCAGACCATCGAATTTGAACTGCCGCGGCTGCAACGCTTTTGCTTTAAAAGGAAGGATCAGCAATTTCGTGGGTGTTCCTACAGGAAATGATTAGATGTTAATAAGTCAAAAATGCTTTTTCATGTAAAGGAAGCCAACTTAACCGGCTTTCTACCTAGAAACTAGCAGCAGAAAAAAGGCATGTATCAGAACTAAAGATATTGTGAATTAGTAGTTTCTAAACTTCAGTGATGAGACAGTAGTGGACGTGAAAGGCAGTCCTGATCTATTCCACTTCAACTTCCATAGACAGAACAGACAGAAAGAAACAGAACCCTACCATGTAGGCATGGTACCATGCAAGAACTGCCAGAGAAACTTACAGCCCATCCGCGTCATCGTCCAGTTCCAGGAAAACCTCTGCCATCTTGGCCTTTTCCTTTTCCACTCTGAGGCCTTCCTTTTGCTCTGCAGGAAAAACAGAATATAAAAAGTAACATCAATCACCAAAATCAATATTATGCTTTGGGACCTGAGCACACCTGGGACTGCTTAACACATTATGGAAACCGGGCACAGTCTCTTAGTTTTGCACACTGATAGACATTTGTACAAGAAACAGACAGTTATCTTGTATCAGCTAAAGGTTTTATCAGCAACAGGTTTTTAACAGCAATGCTAGATGCTGAAAAAATGCCATCATCTCTATGCGTTTGCCCGTTGCGCACTGACCTTCCCAGGCCTTGAGGTGGCGCTCCCTGGCTTCCTTCTCTGGCTGCTCTGCTGTCTCCTTCACAGTCCGTAAGGCTTCCACCTGCTCCTCTTTCCCTTTTTTGCTCTCCTGCAGCTCCCCCAGCGTCCTCTGCAACACACACAGGTGGCAACATCAGCTGGTTCCACACTCACCCCATTATTTTTTCTGTTAGTGGCGCATTCAAGAGAGGTGTACTTTCACATACAGCTGCAGAGAGAGAGAATCTACCGAGGCAGTCCAGACATTAACAAAACTATTTCATGTTTACTGGAAATATGACAAGAGGACCTGTAAGATCTGACTTAACCCTTGGATGGAGCTGGAGTATCATAGCTATTGTAACCCCCCTCCCCAGCCTTCACCTGTTTCTCCTCCCGGCTCTTCTTTGCCTCTTCTATTAGCTGCTGTTTGAGCAGGAACCCCTCTCGAGTGATCTCTCGAATCTTCTCTAGGCTTTCCCTTTCCTTGCGCCCCAGCTCCCTGGGGAAGACCAGTTATCCTTAATAGAAAAGCTCAAAAGAAGCATTTACCATGTCTCGAACATGTGAACAATGCCAGTCTGTAAAGTCAAAAAAAACTAGCCCAAACTATGCCCTCTAGTGGATGTTAGTCCACATGGCAGGATCCACAGACCAGGGATCCCCCACTCTCTTCCTTAGAATATACCTTGTAACATTAGCACCTTATTTTAAAATCATTTCCTGTGCGAAGATAGGTTTGAGACATAAAAGAACACAACAAAACAAGAAAAGTTTGGGAAGCACTTGGATAAAGAATTACTTCAATAAAGCATTTTACAAAACCTGGAAAAGTAATATGCAGAATAATGTTCAAAGTAATCTGACATTTACCTTTTCATACTTTTTAGGTATCACATACACAGATTGCATACACTATTTACATCTCAGATTTTTGTCCTTAATATTTTCTAGATATACACAATATACACATTACAACAGAAGTACAACCTGTCTACTTGCTATCAGTTATCTTAATTTCTATGTTAAGAAAAACTGCAATACAAGAAGTAAACTCACATTGCATGAAGTTTATTGCCATAACAACCAATTGCTTAGAATTTGGATGCATGAACGCAAGTCAACAAATTATATTAGTAATAACAGAAAAATAATTGTTTACAGGTAGTGTTGTCTGAAATAAGGACTCACTTGCAGGTGTTTTCACATACAGCTCCGCTGTTGTACTCATCTGTGGTATCACAGCAGTCTGTCAGCAGAACAGAAGAAAACAAATAAAATCACACTGTAAAGAGGAAATGTGGAGAAACATCCCTTGACAGGCTTTACAAAGTAGTAAACATATATTCCTTTCCTTCATTTAACTCACAGTATGAAACCCAACACTTGTAATTAACAATAGTTGGGTAGCATTTCTGTGCCAAGTCTGGAACAGAAACTACTGACCAGCTTCAGGGCATCAGATTGAAACACAGACTCCACTGCAGTCACAAACTGAGACCAGGCTGCAACTTCACAGTTTGTCCACGACTCACGACAGCCATATAGATCCGAAAAGGCTTACCGCAGATTCCATCGTTGACCCGTGAAGAAGGGATAAATTGGGCTTTGTAGCCTGTGTTGGCGCAGAAGAAGTTCCCATTGGGGCAGGCAGACGTCCCTGGAGAGAAATGGAGAGGGAGAGGAGTGGAGAGAGACACCGTCACACTCTCTTCTGGTTTGGCAGCAGCTTGACTTCTGACCAAAAGGCGTTACGGATCAGGTCGGCCCACTCCATTATTGGAGTACAGCTCCCTTCTATTGTCGACATTTTTACAACCTGCTGTATGAGGAAGGTTAGTATTGCCAAAGAGTCATCCTGGATTCTCAAATTTCTCTCCCCTGCCCTCTGGTAAGGTTTATAGGAGCATAAAGGCAAGTACCTCTGCATATGTAAAATAAACTGAACACTTCGAGACAGGTGCTTTATGTAAAGATAAAATCCTCCAAATTCTTGGGATTTATTAAGTGCCTATAAAAGACATTTAGACCAGGAGCTAAAAAGTTTAATCTTTTGTTCCGATGCAAAAATAGACAAAAAACACAGAACTGAAGCAGTGCCAACAATCCAAAAAATAGAGACATCAATGTGAAAAGCTGTAGTGCAGCAGCTCTGACATTCACCTGACTCATTTTTAAGGAATTATATGAGTTCTACCATTTGCATTTAAATAATGTACATAAGACCATAGAGCAGAACTGAGCATTGCAGCATGTTTAAACTGAGCACCAGGGGATATAAGACAATATAGTGATATACTGCAGAGACCTACATCAGACATTTGAGTCTGGAAGTAGTCTAGTGGTAGCAAATGGGAGATACATATCTATCTAATAATAATAAAAGAATGGTCAATGGCCATTTTCCCTTGAAACCTTTGTAGCCCTTTTGGTAGTTGATTTGACCCCAAGATCTCATCGAGCCATTTCTGAAAGAAGCAGGACATTGCCTTCAATAACACGGCTGGGGTGTCATGTTCCAGATTTCCACAATATTGTTTTGTAAAGAAGTGCCTCTTGGTCTCATTTTTAAATGTATCTTTTAAGGAATTAAAACCAACCCAACAGATGAGGTCTAGAAGATTAGGAGACCATTTACTTCCTTTACATCTAAAAGCATTTAATTGTTGAATAATGAAAAATACACTTGCCGGTAGGGATATTATTATCGTTATTGTTTTTAGACTTATTATGTAATTGGTTGTTTTTTCATCTTTGTGTTACTAGAAGAGTTCTGACATAGTGAAGGTGTTGAATGTCGTTTGTATTATGGTATTGCACTGTTGTTGGATTGTATTATTTTTGCATGTTATGTATTTAGGAGCTTTTTGATGCGCAAGACAAATTCCCTTAGGGGCAATAAAGGTTAATTCAATTCAATAGAAGTCTCCATGCCAAACTCAGGTTAGCTGTGCTCAAATCACCGAGTAGGAGTGCGCTATACCTGGCTCATCGGAGCCGTCCTTGCAGTCACAGTAATCGTCATTGACCCGGTCAAAGGAGATGGTCTTGGTACCGTCCAGACATGTAAAGGGCTTGGACTCCTCGTAGAAGTGGCGATCTGCCAATGCAGTTGGGGAGAAAAAAACACTGAGGGAGGTGTAGAAAGCATTTTTGCAAATTTGCAACATTTGTGTCCTTGCACACAGCAGAACAGAGAGTGACAACACGACCATTTCTGCAAGACTTCAACTAAAGCACATCTTAATCTCTTTTAAGAAGTATCTGAAATATCTCTACTGCACCTCCTCTGCTATTCCAAGCATTTCTAAATCTAAACTAAACCTCTTTCCCAGGCTTCTTTACAGTCTGACCCTGGCCCCACCCATGTCTTGTGTTTTAACACAGCATCCCCCCCCCGCCAGCCTATCACCAAGGTTGACTCCTCTGCATGAAAAACACTCCAAAAGCAGTGGAAGTCGGAGTGTGCCAGCTGGAATCCCAAGAGCCAAAGCAAAGAGCAGGTGACAGACACTCACTGGTGAGAGGCACCCCCCTGGGTTTCTGTATCTCCACAGCAGCAACCAGCAAGCAGCTCAGGGTTAGGAAAAACACAAGCTGAGAACAGGCCATCTTGCAGCACCTGAAACACACAGAATTTTTTTTAAACAACTGCTTTCTCACTATGCTAACACTTCTAGAATCAGGCTTTCTCAGGCTGCAGCCCAAAAACCAACAGTATGCTTTTTTTCACCCAACCACTCAGTCAGAATGAAATTATTATTCTTTTCTTTTATTAATCAATTATTTTCAACTGCAAACAAGACTCGCACATCCCCTCTTGAATGAATGTGTCAACACATCACGTAGAGAAGTACAAATTTTGAATCGAGTGTTGAGCGCTAGTTGCATCAAAAATCAAGACCATTTAAGGGAGAGATATAAAGGATTACGGCACTCACAAAATCAAATGAGTAAGGGACAACAAAGATCTTTGATGCATTGACAAGCAAACCAATTTATGTGTATATTGGTAGAACTTCAGAGAACTGAACAGCAAGCCAGACTGACCAAATCAGCCTTTAAATTAGCGATTGGTAAATTGGTAAAAATTTGGAAGAGATTAGCCTTGGTCAGTAAATTAGGTAATTCCGTTAATTCAGGATCTGTAATCTTTATGAAGCATAGGATGTCCGTATTTTATTTTTTGTCACTTGCTAAACAACTGCTGTTGAGCAAATCACCTGCTTCAGTTGTCAAAACGCAATTAACCCAACCATTTCGAAACCGATGGGGTGCCCTGTAATGTCTGTAGTTCTCCAGGACCAGGGTTGGAGACCACTGAGCTTTTCTGGGGGTGAGCGTGTGAATAATACACTGCAATTCCTGGGGTCTGAACTGTGTGGAGTGGATATATTCTCCCCGTGTTTGTGTGGGTTTCTCTCACAATCCAAAGGCACACTTGTAGGTTAATTATCTTCTGGGAAAAGTGTCCCCGGTGTGTAAGTTTGTGTCTGTGTGTGCCTGGCGATGGACTCGTGTCATGTCCAGGGTGTATCCTGCCTTGGGATATGCCTGGTCTCCCCTGCAATCCTGAATCGGATAAAATGGTTAGAAAATAGGTTTTCATTCCTCCTCTGCTCTTAATGACCTAAATAAGCAGATTATTAGGACAAGCTTAATATATTTCGAACCTTTCTTAGGAAGGCCCTACAGAACCTGCTGAATTCTGTCCCTTGAGGACAGGACTTTTGCACCTTAGGTTCAATGCAGATTTCCCTCATCCTGGATTCCCAGTGGCTTCTGGTTTTCCTTCCAACTGAATTTATTAGCTTGCCTCGTTAAGCCCTTAAATCAACCTATTTGGTGTTTTTTAAACTATAATAGTGGAGGGCAGCTCTTGAATTAAATCCATCCATTTTCGATCCTCTTCTTCCAATTCAGGGGGGAACCAGAGCCTATTCCAGCAAGAAATGGGCACAAAGCAGGGTACACCTTGGACAGGACGCCAGGATAGACACACAAAGACTTGCACACACTCACAGCAAGGACACTTTTTGCACAACAATTAACTTACCCGTATGTCTTTGGCCTGTGAGAGGAAACCCATGCGACCTCAGAGAGAACAGACAAACTCCACACAGAGAGCACCCCAGGAACTGAGGCCAAGACTCCAACACCGTGAGGCAGCCATGCTCACCACTGCGCTACCATTCCGGACGATTCAATTATTCCGAGAGCATTATTCCTGCGTGTGTCTGCACAGCATTAGTTCAACTAGTAAGAGTTGTTTAGAAAGCTCTAAAAGAGCAGAAATATTAAATTAATCTGAAGCACAGTTCTTCTCATTCTATTTTTTGGAAGCGATGCAGGAAGAATATTTATTTGACTGTGCTGTGAGGATAAACAACACTTGGTTTTTAACTGGTTCAATAAGCCTAATTAAGGGCTCAGTTGAAATTAAAACCGGGACAGACAGAGGCACTCCCGGTCAGGACTGGATTGAGGGAAATGGGTTTGCCAACAGGGGCCACTGACTCGCTGGGCCAATTTACCAAACTACCTCTAATATCCTCAGAGCTCCATCTTTCGAGCGAGACAGGTCAAATTAAAGTCCCGTGTGAAATGAATGGCTCGTGTCCTAGCTCCTACAGGAAAAGCCCAAACCATTAAAATATAAGAAAAATAGGATGAAGGGGGAATTGCAGATAATCCTATTTCAACCGAGAAGGCGGACCTGCGGTGCAATGAATTAATCTCCGGTCGCGGGAGCAAATGATCAATGTCTCTTAAATGCATTTACAAATGGGTTTGTTCGTCTAACTACTTCCGAAATACATATTGAGTTTGATAACTCTAGTTAATTTGCCCGAGAAAATAATTCCCTGAAATGACAGAAAGAATTGAGGCGATCTTTGAACAGCCACAATCCGGTTCCGCTACCGGTACATTTTGGAGCTCCAAATGTGCCGTTAGGTTTTATTTTCGCGACCGTGTATGACACTAAAACGATATGTCCGTTTAGAATGCTTATACAGCTCATGTCATATTATACGACACACGTTATTTTAAAATAATAAAAAGAAAATCGCTTTACCTCCTCCGCGCACTGTCCGTAACCAGGAAACGACGTCTGCTTCGTACTGGGTTGGCTGAATCTTATTGGTGGAAAAAAAACAGAACGGAAGCGAGGCATGACACCCTGGGAAATGTAGTTTTTTAAGGCAGTTACCCAGCAAGGCATTTTTCGTAAAGAAAGTTCTACGACGATTATTCTTAACTACATTTACTAACATCTCGATAGAATTTATTATCTATTTATCTATTACGTTTTAAAATATTAATAATGAAAACCATACTATGTTATCTACCGAGAGACATCTTTCTCTGATCTGTAAAAACATGTTAGCATGCCTCGAAGACGTGTGTAATTATAGTGTATATTGTATATATTATCTTGTTTTTATGTATTTTATGCAGTTTAGAACCTTGCCGTAACGATTTTGTCAAAGATCGCCTCGTTTTTTCTCTCATTTCGGGAAATCCTTTTCTTAGGCAAAATTAGTTATCAACCTCAGTACTTATTTCAGAAGTCCTTGGACAAACAAAACCCATTTGTAAATGCATTTAGAAGACATTTATCATTTTCTCGCGCCACCGGAGATCAATTAATTGCACCGCAGGTCCGCCTTCTGGGTTAAAACAGGATTAAGTAGTTCAAGTAGGGGGCTGCGTCAAGCATGCGTAGGCTGCAAAGGAACAAGTAATAGGTTTATTCCATGCTGAAAAGAGAAGAAAGAAAACACAAAAAAACACATAAAACAATATATATGTAGAAAAAAAAAAACTCGAGTGAATCCTAAACCCGAAATTGGTTTATATTTCAATTGCACCGGTTCACTGTCAATTTCTTTCAGAGCTGGGACCCTTGGGACGGGATCTGTAGCTTTATGAAAACACCACTATGCGGAGCAAGGAATGCGGAGGGGTGGGTTTTATGAAGGCCGGGTGTGCGACGCAAGAGGATCATTTCTTTGACACTCGCTTGGTAGATAAGAGTATCCACCCCTCATCCAACACCACTTCGCCCTGCGGAGGAAGAAGCGGGAGTCTAGCCCGGCAGACAGAGGGCATGAGATCTCCACACAGGACGCCGGCCCATGGCGGGACACACACGCGGGGACAGTAACCAAATCATACAGAAAAATCGCCAAACCGCACGGATGCCCCCCCCCCCCCTCCTTCCCTTAGAAGTTCATTTCGGTCCACAAAAGCCTAGCATTCCTACGAATCCAGTTTGAAGTAGCACTCCTCCAGCAAACCTATTGTAACGCAACGGGGGCTCAGGCGGGCGCCCTTGCCGCATTAGGTCGGCCCCTGCACCGTCCGGGGCTCGAACCCGGGACTTCCGCGTCTCTCTGCAGCGACCTAGCCCCGTGAGCTAAAGAGAGATCTCTCCACAGCCCAGTAGCTGTGGTCCTGCTATCACAGGGAAGGGCGGTGACGTCACCCGCTCTGGTACGCCGGCTCTTACACACAGTGCTTGTCGGCCGTAAGCGTTACACTATTCTGGTCGCAGGGCTCTAACAATGTTGTAAACGGGGTCCGGGGACAGCTGATTTCGGCTCTACCTCGCCCGGAGCAGCTTTTTACTAATACGGTCCCCCCGTCTTTCAGTGTCGATAAAAGAAAGAACGGGATGTCCTATATCTATTTTAATCAAGCATCCACCATCTGCACAATATTATTTAACTACACATTCCTTTAATGTGCTGTTTACATCCTTCCATTTTCTAATCGCTTCAACTACCTCCGGGCTCCAAGGGAAGCAGCGGGCGCAAGGCAGGGTAGCCCCTGGACAGGACGCCAGTCCACCACAGGGCACAAACTGGCACAAAACACAGACACGCACTCGCACTAGGGCCAGAGTTCCCAGAAGGCAATGAATGCACCAGTATGTCTTTGGACTCTGGGAGGAGCCCCACGCGAATATGGGGGGACATATATACTCCTCACAGACAGCACTCCAGGTCCGGACTTGAACCCAGGGCCCCAGCGCCATCGTGCGGCCAAAACGGGCAACACGGCTGTCTATCACCCTCTATCATACCCCCGTTAAAGGAGGGGGGTCCTAGACAGTTAACACACAGTTACCAGTCGTTACCCCTGTTTGTTTCCCGGTGTACCTCCCCGTCTCTGCTTTCCAGTTTGATAAGGTTCTCCGCGCAGCTGTCAGCTACCACTCCAGAACGGGTTTCTCCCCTTGAGCGGGCACCACATCTGGAGCGCTTCTCCCAGACAGACCCGCCGGGCGTCGTCTGTATTCTGCCCCTCAGCCGCCGAAAGGACCGGGCCCAGTCCGGGAGGCGAGAAAGGCCGCGGGGCCGGTTCGGGTAACTGCGAAGCGGGGGCTGTTGCCGGACAGTCCTCGCGTCCAGGGCCGCTCCCACGGAACGAGCCGTCTCCTCTTTAATCGTGGGAACCTCCAGACACGCTCCTGTTGCGGTGACCCGCGCTCGTTATGTTTTGACCTTACCGGAAACCCACAGGTTTGCCTTGGGCTCACACAAAAGCGTCCGAATTGACCTCACCGGATGTGCGGAGGTGTGAACACGCTTAAACACAGCAGACAACGTGTTGAAACAAAAACGGTCAAACTAAAATCATGTTCAGTGTAATAGTTTGTCACACTCATATCTGTTTTCATATTTGGGTTTCGGTAACAGGTTCTTTACTTCTAACCGCTCGTTTTTCTTAGATGGGCTTATTTTGTAATTTGCCTATCCTTATACCTTTTTTACACCTACTGTAAAAACGCTTTGAGATGCTACTTTTAAAGACGCTATATAAAATAAATACAATTATTATTGTATTGTACCGTTTTAATATTTTGCTTCAATATTGTGCATAACTGCTGTAAACTGGCATCAATCAGTTTCTTTAATGGATAATATTATTTACTGCTGTATAACAACAAGGTGGCGCCAAAGAGTTATCATCGAGCGCTGTTAATATTTTTTCGTTGTATTTACAAAGCTCTTCTTATCCCAAAATAATCCCCCAATAATAATGTAATAAATAATACAAACTATTCCACATATTATTTTACATATAAAGGAGATACAGTATACTTTGGAATTGTAAATGTCTAATACTAAGATGTGGAAAAAAAAACAGATCTTTCTTTAACTTTAAAACATTAAGACTAAAAAAAAATATCTGTGATGAAGTAAAATAATGTCTGTCGTTATTTTTGATATTGTACTGAAACTTGAAGCTCTTGGTTTGAGCGTGACAGGGCCACTTTTCCCACTTTTTTTATGACTGATCCATGCCTTTATGTATATTTAACATGATGTACATTTACATTTAAAGGAGGGGCATGAGTACATTTTGGTGTCTGATCTGATGGACGAAGATTAACAGACCTTAACTCACTGGTGCAAAAGTGAGATTGAACAGACTGTAGGGGTAAAGAAGGAAGGAATGACAAGAGGGGCCTTCATCTGAGATGAGTTTAGAATATATGTTTACTTTTCGAACCTCTTTGTCCAGTTCAGGGTCTGGGGGGAGCCAGAGCCCATCCAGGTACACCCTGGACAGGACGCTAGTCCACCACAGGACCGTGAGGGGAACCCACGAGTGCACAGGGAGCACACTCCCAATGCTAACCACTGCGCCAAGGGATCCGGACATAAAAATAATCACCGTTTTGGGGGTGGATGCTGGATCTTGATCGCAGAGGTGGAGCGTGTGGGTGCACCAGTAGACAAGTCAAACGTTTATCTCCGCCTCACAGCCAGGCAGCTGCTACATCTGCGCCTGCATTATCACCCGGGAGGCAGGGGGCGTGACCCGTCCTGAGCAGAAAGGGGTAAACCAGGGGAGGGGGCCCTAGCTCCCCAGCATGGACGTGTGCAGCTACAGACAACAAACACAACACATCACATGTGTACTGCTGTCTTGTACCTTTTTCTCTATCCTAAATATGAGTTTTAACCATAATGTAATTTTTCCCATCTTTGCAATTCTTTTTCCCTCTAAAAACCTTTCAGTCTTTATAACAAGAGAGGACCATGACGTTTGTTCAGGTAGCTATTAATTAGCTGCTATTAATTCCGACTTTTCATTTACCATTGGACACCCCTGTGTAGAGTACTTTGCCTGGGCTTCGTCACCTCATTACTTCAGCCACGTCTTGCTGTCCTCTCCCTTGCTCATTGGTGCAGGCTATCCTATGAAAGGAGCAACACACGTCTCGACTATTATTGCCGTGAATTTCCCTGCAGCCTGCACTTGGCCTGTGTTTTGGAAACACAGCTGAGCATGGTCAGCACCGGAGCCGCCCTGTGCTCGAACCGGGCTGTATTAAAAAACACAGGCTGCAGCTTCACAACGGCATCTGAGGGAGAAGTGTGCAGCTGCCCGACATTATGCAAGATCGTTTCCTGTTGTGCAGGGACAGGGGGCACAGCGTGTGAGAGCTGGCTTAGTGTTTCTTTCTCTCCTTCCGTTTGGTGCTGGGCACCCGAAAGAGCCGCAGAGTGCTGGGTGACGATGAGACAGCACTAACTGCTACCATTCCAGGCTTCTGACAGCTTGGCACACCCTCCATGCCAGCATACCGGCCCTGGGTGCGAGGGGGAGGAGGGGAATTCATGCCTTGTCCGATGGGGGTACTTTTCACCGTGTAGCTTCCTGTCCTACCCTGTTGTGCTTCGTGCGTTGCTCGAGAACTCTCTGTCCCTTTATCTCACATGACCACCGGAGATAAGGATCTTACTGCCTGTGCCCAAGACACACCTGGGTCTGCCCCCTCACAGGCGAAATTACACACGCGTCCTGTTCTTCTGTTTTTAATCAAATGGATTTTATTTCACACACTGTTAAATCAATCCACTCACACACGCACCCAAGACCCCGATGATTCTCAGGATTTCGAAACCTCAGCCCCTCCTATCCCCCAAACTGCTAGCCCATGCTCTCACACTTTTGCAAAAACAAAGAATCGTCAATTGGAAAGACTGTTGCTCACTTCCTGGAACTATGCTTGGCTCCAGCCATTGCGCTGCTAGTTGGGACAACACCCTTACAAAAGGTCAACGCAGTAAATCCACACAGTGTTATCTTTCTGTTTTTCCGTATTTATCCCATGCAGTTACACTACCCTTCTTTGTCATAATATATCTTGACAGCTCCAATAGATCATTAAAAGATCTTATGAACTATATTTGTCCCTCTTTCTCCCCCAAAGCAAAAAAAGAAACATCTTAAGGACAGAAGTTTAAAGACAGGAAGGAATGGGGGGGGGGACACTTTCCCCCCCTTGGTGTAACATGATGGTGCAGCTGCAAAAACATTCCCCAAGTCACTTCCTGCCTTTGAGTTTTCAGAACTCTGGTGTGGGGCGGAACTGTAGGAATAGCTAGCAAGGCCAACTGAATTAGAAACAGCAACCGAGAATGCAACAGATTATACAGAGAGGGATATGAATGAATGAAGCACAGGGGTATTGGAAAGATTTAGAACTCTAAAAGGAAGCTCCACCCCTAATTCACTCAATGCGAACATTTGCTCTGCACGCCCCCTTCACATTTTTTAACACCAGGTGTCTAATACAGAAATACTGAAAAAGACTTTATCCCCTTCGTTGTAGATACAGTAGAATATTTTTGCCTACACTTAATACGATTCTAATGAAAATCTATAACCCTTAGTATTTCTAGTGCTGCTTTTTGGGGAAATGTGTCGAGATCCTCATACTTTTGTGTGGAAAGTGTTTTGGACTGTGTCTATAGAGATCTTTGGGGGGGGGGTTACTGGTTATGATAGCCCTAGGTCTTAAACTGAAAGGTTCACATGCTGCACTTTTTCCGAAGCAGAGTATTGGGCTAATCTCTTTGGACTGGAATAAATGCCTATTTGGTTTACTGTTTTTCAGAGACAGTACTTTGATATTAAACATATCTGATCTGACCAGCCCGCAGCCGCCAGTACTGTTGCTTAAAAAGGCACTTCTTTCTTTCTCCTGGGCGTCTGATAAGAGGATGTTGAATAGAGGAACAGTGAAATGAGAGGGAGCTCTATTTATTGTACCATGATGTGAGGAGCCATGCAATATTCACAGAGACAAGAAAGGCCTGTTAGTGCTGAAAAGCAAAAGGCAAAACAGGTCCCAGGATTGCTACAATATTACTTTGACTGGTGATGGAAATAAAAAGGAGGGTTGCATTAAAGCAGCATTTTGGGAAAGCCAGAGGGAGGGAAAGGTGAAAGGGGGAGGCTCGTGAATTGCACACTCTCTTCAAAAATGATGTTAAAAATGACGACAAAGCTGGCTTCTCAGCATTGTGTCACCTGCCCTTACTTGATTAAAGCCCAAAGAAAAAGACCTTGTCCAGTGGTTCTGATACACAAAGGCATGGATTTCTGCTGAAAACACCGCAGACATCAGCCAACTCGCAGGAAGCCAAAGGCTGTGCAGATCAGTAGAGCAACTAGGCAATAATTTAAGAGCAGTACGAGATGAATTCATGACGAGCATCCTCCACAAATGCCTAAACTTCACTGCACCACCACAGCAGCCAAACAGATACAAAAACAAGAACGTCATGAAGAAGAACTGATATTGAGACCCCAGGTGATGTCATTTTCTCTACCCACATAAAAAAATACACGATTCTTTAGAGAAGTCACAACCAGAAGTTCCTGGAGGAGCAGCATGACTGATCTCCTCCCGGTTCATGGCAGCTTGAGCGGCCCAGTCTAGGGCATGTGCTCTGACGTCCTTTACAGAAAAACGTGATCAAAATGCTCAGCAGACACCAGCAAAAGGCCCTGCCAATTGTTTCGTAGAGTCTGCCCCGTTTATTCACGTCTCAGTTCGCATCCTGCAGCCTGACTCTCGGGGGCAGCGTCACCGCTGGTCGTTAACAGCGGCTACAATCCTCATCGGCTCCTTCAGCTCCAGCCCGTTCTTGGCCGTCAGTCTGGACTCCATGCTTTCCTCGCTGTCGGGGCTGCCCGTGTCGCCGTAGCAACTGGAGCCGGGGGAGGTTCCCGTGGCAACCACGGAGTCGGAGGAGTCCCTGCCTCGGCAGGCGGTGGCCTGCCCCGGCTGCGGTGGGGGGGCGTGGGTTTGGCCGGGGGTGGCCCGCGGGAGGTCCGCGTGGAGCTCCAGCTTGTTGTTCTCCCCCTCCCCCTGGTCCTCCTCGCCTGCAGCTCCCCCTGCTCCCTGGTCGGAGGCCTGGTCGTTGAGCAGCTTGACCAGGAAGTTGATGTACTTCATGGCCAGCCGCAGGATCTCGTTCTTGCTGAGCTTCTTGTCGGGCGGGTGCGTGGGGATCAGCTTCCTCAGCTCGGAGAAGGCCCCGTTGACGTTCTGCTGCCGCCAGCGCTCCCGACTGTTCGTGAAGACCCTGCGGGCCAGCTTCTGGGGCGGGCCTGCAACACAGCCGCCTGGTTCTCATTATTGACTTGACCATGATCCATACAGACTCACAGACTCACACACCTGCACACCTGCACACATAGACTCACTAACACACAGACCTGCACACCCTCACATACACACACAGACTCACAAACACTCAGAGCTGCACACACTCACATAAACACACACATAGACTCACAGACACTCACAGCTGCACACACTCACATACAGACAAACAGACTCACAGACACTCACATACACACACAGACTCACAGACACTCACATACACACATACCTGCACAAACCTGTACACACTAACACAAACATAGACTCAGAGACATACACACTGCACACCCTCACATACACACATACTCACATACACATACATGCACACAACGGGACAAACTGAAGATTTGCTGGGTTTCAGGTCAGTGCTAGACATATTGCTTGACATTCTGGCTTTTGCTCTATCTTATAAAAAGCTAGGAGGAGCCTGGAGAGCACCGAGAGATCCCCAGTCATTCAGATAGTCAGAACACTTGAGTGATTGAGAGACTGCTTATACCAAGGTCAGAAAATACCGTGGCCATCCAGGAACTGATATCTCACACAGCCCCACGTTACGGTTTCCTCGCCCTCCCAGGCACAGAGATCAGGTTTCAAAATCAACTAGCACAAATCTCCAGAGCCCTTCCATGATTGGAACTTCAGAAGCACAAACACTCTGCAGACATGCCTGCTTCAATATGTGACCTGTTCTTCCCAAGCCAGGATGTGTTACAGGTTGACCCTGAATATTACATTTTCAATCCTGTAAAAATTGAAATCAAACATCCTGACAATATTCTTTACAATATGCTGAAAAGAGAAGAAAGAAAACACAACTTTTCAGCCGTGGAGCCTTCTTTGGGTGGTCTTCTCACCCAAAGAAGGTTCCACAGCCGAAACATTGTGTTTTCTCTCTTCTCTTTTCAGCAAGGAATAAACCTATTACGTGTTACTTTGCAAACTACGCATGCTGACGCAGCTACCCACCTGAACTTCTTTAGAATATAGACATTAAGTGGTTCAGATGGCGGTTTGATCACAAAGACCTTTTTTTCCTGTTGACTATGACTATTGTATCTATATTTTAAATGATTTATTTTTAAATCTGTCATTCTTAGTGGCTTTCTGGATTCTATGAGCCCCACCAGCTCGGGACTCTTCCGTGAGCCTTGATACTATGCTACGATACTGTCCCTGAAGGCAGGGTGCTGCCAAGCCATCGCCCGCTGACACACTGCAGGCAGCAGGCCGCAGGCGGGAGCTAACCTTCAGGCAAGTCCATTTCAAAGTGCGCGGAGGGTCTTCTCTTCATGCGGCTGCTGGCGAAAACTCCAAAGCTGGCCGATGACCCCAGGTAAGGACTGGCACAGAGGGAGGGAAAGTAGAAAAGATTACCGGGTGCATACAAGCCCAGGGCCACTGCTCACCACGGATAAAGCACTGATACAGCGGGCAGCAGAGCCTTTTATTTTTACACAAAACCAGTATTTCAACTACCTTAACAATCCTGAGCAGTGGTTCCCAGCTCTGGTCCAGGAGGAACGTTGTGTTTGCTGGTTTTTGCTCTAGCTAACCACTGGCTTCTTCATCACTGATTAATCTGATTTCCAGTTTCTCTTTCTGCCCTGATATAGTGTCACGCCCCGC